GCACGCTGGTGGTATGCCTGTTCTCCTGGCGCTGATAGCTGTCGTGTGTGATTCAAGGGCATACCTGGGGCACAGGAGACCTCTGTATGTATCCCCGATGGGGAACAGCAGGGAGAAGGCTGTTAGGATGCATATATGAGTTTTTAGCATCTTAATGTGTGCTTGTAGGTGAAAACATTAGTATTAGTACATTTTGCAGACTATCAATCACTCAGCTCCTTATTTGGGAACTACTGTCCCAAATATATTTAACATCTGTGGAGCTGGTAGTTGTAATGTTGTTAACTTTCTTTTGAGAACAAAAGATAGATTCTTGCTGTCCAATTTTATCTCAAGAACTGAAGGGGTACCAACTTCCATGTGTGTTCCTGTGATGGAGAGGATCACACTGGAGACAGTGCTGGCAAGGCAGGTTTCAGGGGTGCTGTAGTCAGAGATGTCAGACTAGGAGTCTCTAGAGCAGAGTTGCTGATTGGAAAAAAGCCTCTGTTCTGCTAAACAGACTCTTTGGAGAAGAAAGGAATAATGGGAAAATGGTATCTTTGCCCCTGACACATGCTGTGTTCTGCCGTGTTGGTACTGAGTTAGTATGTTGGAGTTGAGAAAGCACCTGTGCTGTAAAGCTGAAGAAGCACTCTTGAGCAGGGATTTTGGATCATACAGATGTAGGGCATCTGCCAAGATCCTTATCTATTGTTCTCATCTGGCTAAGCTTTTGGAAATATTTTTATTCGGGTGCCTGTCTCAGGTGTCAGAGTTGGTTTTTGTATCATCTAGCAGACCAGGGTTTAGGACTTATGTAGATAAACAGAGGACATGGCTGTTTTGATTTAAAATTAGGTTACCCATGGAAGTCTGACACAGCATGTGTGACTTGAGGTTTACTTGAATGTACAATATTTAACACAGAGTCCAGATGCAGTTTTAGTAAGACTTTCATCTAGGCTTGAGCATATTACCCATCCCTAATAACCAAATTCTTCGGTCAGAAAATCATTGTTTGAGACAAAACTTGAAGCAAATTTTCAGTGATTGTTTAAACAAAGAAATTGTCTAATGTGAAGAACAGAACTGACCGAAAACTTCATTCAAAATCCAAATCAGGTTAAGACGTAATCCTTTTGGCAGTGGAAAAGATTTTTTTTTTATTTTTTTTTTTTTGCTTTTCTGTGTCTGACAAATTCTTCTTCCAGCTTTGGTTTTTCAATTCAACTAATGGTAGAAGAGCCAGAGCACATGATGAAGAGCAAATAAATTTCATGCTAAGGACATGTATATTGGGCTAACTGTGGTCAGAGCAGAGTGATTTACTAAGTCATACTTTCCAGTGATGATCCTATTAGCTGTTTGGTTTAGATTGTTAAATCAGTCTCTATTTTGTATTAAAAAAAGTTGGTCTCACTGATTCAAAACATCTGTCTTGTTGAAGAAATGTATGTATTTCTGTAAGTGTATTTATTTATCTACAAGTCTTATCAAGTAAACAAGCTTTAACTTTTAATTGTAGAGACTGGAATAGGGATCTCAGCTTTAGAACTGTTTACTGAATCTAATGATATTTTATATTTCTGAATATTTATGTATCGTGTGTTGTTCATTGAAACAGTATTTCTTACCTTTTGTTA